AAAAAAATATATATATATATATATATATATATAGTATATATATAATGCAGTACGGACTGATTAGGCTAATCTGCAAACAGTCCACTCTAAAATAAAATTCCAAGGCAAAATGCTATAATTAAACATGACAAACTGGCCTTGAAACAAATAATTGAATGAATAACAAGGATTTGTTTTCCAAACTACAATTGACTAGTTCAGCCCTTCTGTGCAGACAAATGATCTTTTTTTGACATTTTGTTTATTTACAGGTTTGCTTGTTTTTGTTTTTTGTGAAGAACCAACAGTGAGTCAGATGGTCAGAAATGAGTTTTACAATGATAAATAAAGAAAAGTTAGATAATTTACTGCTGAGAAGGAATACACTTTAAAGTTGCACTACAGAAGCAATCGTTGTTCAAACTTCATTACAGCAAAGGCCTATTTACACCAAGTACGATAACCATAATGATAACTATATTAGCGTTCACACCATTGGATGATAACGTTCTGTTTCTTATAAGCATGTGCTGCATGTCTGCCACTTTAAATGCTCAAACTCCTTAAAGTCGAGTGGATTCTCATTGGCTGTCAATGTTTTTATCGTTCATCCGCTGAACAAAGTCATTCTGAAAATTATTCCAGCAATATTATTCTTCTGTGCAGTTATCATTATAGGACTCTGCTGTTATGGACTCTACTAGTTATCGTCCTTGGTGTGAACGAGCCTTAAGCCAACAATGACAATTTATATTTTGAGCAGTCAAGTTCGATTTGGTGGGATATTTCAGGTTTACCTCATTCGTCTTTGCTTGTTCGTAAACTGAGAAAATAAGGTCTGGTTACTATAGCAGCACATATGCTACTTGCTCAGACTACAGAAGTTTTAAATATCTCTATCTTATAGGACTTGCTTCTTGCAATCAGATTCATCCCACGAAGAAGAGCAGTGACAACCTTTCAATTTTTGTTTCAACCAGAGGTGGCTATAGACAGGTCAAAGTTATGTAGTGCAGGTTTAATTTCAATAAGGATGGTCAAAGAATTAGGTGTGTGCATTATACTTTGAAATGTTCCTAGAATCAACAAAATCTGAAAAAATAAAAAAAATAAAACCTCACGAGGACATCTTCAGTCGGAAAACAATAAATAAAGCAAAGGTTTTCTTTGAATTATAATTAGTTCCACATGAAAACACTAGAAGTCTATAAGTGATTTAGAAAATGTTTGCTTATGTGTGCTTGTAACTCAGAGAGAATCTTCTTTTTATGGATCTAAACTGAACATTCTCGTAGATGTGTAGCTTTTAAAGGTGTCCGTTCAAGCACAAGCTATTTACGCATACCAAATCAAGTGCATCAGTGCAACTTCATAGATTTCCAGAGGTTCTAAACCGACAGATATATACAAATGTTTAAAATGTGTTTTACATACTCAACTGATAAACTAAACCTTCCATTGATTGGTCATGCCTGGAAGAACTTTTAGGATGTAAAATGCAACCGAATGGCCATTAACATAAACATCATACTTACAGCTGTTGGAAAGGAACTTGTCAAGGGACTCACGCCACTGGGCTGCTTCTTCAGGTGTGGGTCTGAACAAAACAAGCAGATTCCTTCACTTAGTATTTTCCTCTTTGTATATGGCCAACAAGTTTCCAAACACAGTCAATGGTATAATCATTTACATTACATGTAAAATTACATGTGATTAAGAAATATGGTACGTACACAGAAAGAAAAGGGCATTATTAGCAATATATGTATCAAATGTATGCAAATTAGCACATTTTAATTACTTAATAATTTGCATATCAATGTGGCGATTCTAATGACGTTATTAATTTTACTGTATTCAGCTGTCGTTTCTCCATTAAGTTAGCCTGTATACCCATGATATATTGCCTTAGCTAAACTTTAGCTAACTTATTACATGGTCGCTCATGAGTCATGGATGTTAGCAAGACAAATGAACTTTATTTGCCTTTTGTCTTTTGAATAATTAGCTGTAAAATGGAGGCACAGGTCTTTTGTTAATCACCACTCACCTCCACACCAAAACAAACACAACTTGAAAGGGAGGGAGGGCTTCACTTCTGCGGCTCTCTGCCTGTCTGTGTGTGATGTGCCGATCAATGTGTGCAATACTGTTATACTGCTGTGCTGCTCGCCGTGCGCGTAGATGCAAAGGGGAGAAAGGCATCGGAACCGGAACTCGACAGAGTCTCAACATTTCCCGACCCAGCCTAATATTTAGATGTTTTATTTGTTTGACAGGGAAAGCTGTGCGCAAACAGAAACACACACACA